AGAAGATAGCGAAGGACCTAAGAGCGAGGGCAGAATGTCGAGGCCAGGTGTCGGCGATGGCAGGGGCGTGCGAATGGCAAGGGGCAGGAGAGCGGCCTGGGTTGCCGACGGGGTTTCAGGGGCCACCAACGAAGGCTGATGGGAAAGGCTTTCGTGATAAGGATACACACGACGAACCGAGTGAACGCGGCGATATGGCGCGAGTAACAAAATGCGGATATGAACGTTACAAAAGTGAAAGGGTGTTTACACAACTATCACGCACGCGGCAAATGTAAGATTCGGGACGTTTCGGGATGAATAAACGGGAGTGACTGGCAAAGACAGAACACCAATTAACTTTTATCATTATTCATTATTCCCCTCTTTACCATTAAATCTATTTATTGTTTTCCAGGTAGTTTGAATATCAAGATCTCATCAGGCATAAGAGAGCTGTACAAGAAGAACCGAAGAACAAGAGGACGATGAAGAAAGGAAAGAGTAAATTAAAGAAAGTAAGAAAAAATATGGAAATGCAGACAAAACCGAAAAGAAAAACTGCAAAATTAAATAACCGTTGTAGCTAATCCATGCGCCGTATTTCTTCATCGCGCTTTTATCTTCAATTCCTTTCTTCCCCTTACAACCTCTCGTGCGTCTTTGCGATCCACGAAACCCTCATGATTCCGGAACATAGGATGAACAGCATGTTGAGAATAGGCGGATGGTTTCAAGCCACACACGTACCAGGGACGTTCAGCTGCAGTCAACCCCGTCCAACCTTCTTTCCTCCCTCTGCCTTCTTCTCCGAGTGAGCACTTAGTGTTCCCGGTTTTAGTTACAAATCTTTTGGTTCAAGTAAGTGTAGCATTTAAGCTCGGAGGTGGAGGTGTTCCTTTCCCGCAGGAATGAAAGATCGGATAAGACCTTCTCGGTGGCTTGTTGGGTGTTTTCCCTCTTCAGGTGTCCAACATTGGGGTACTGCCCCAGTCGAGGCCACCTCCCAACCCGTGTCTCCAGGTGGGGTAAGTGAACGGACTGTGTCATGGACTGGAGCAAAGAGAAGTGGACAGAGATAAGGAACAAACTATCACGCAATGTGTTTGTTAGGGTACACATCTCTGCACGATTTATTATTATTATTATTATTATTATTATTATTATTATTATTATTATTATTATTATTAGCAATATTGACAGGAGAAACCTCGCAAAACTCCAGACAGAGGATGTATTTGACCTAGTAGTAGCAAGTGTCGAAAATCCTCCATCATAGGGACTGAAACATATGGACCTCCCGGTCATTAATGTGATGTCACTGGATTTCATTAATTGATGAGTGATTCCGGGCGTGTCAACTGCTAAGATCATTAGACCGTCTTCTCACACTGGCTGGAGAAATCCGGCGCCGACATGCGTCGGCTTGGGAGGGGATGTCTTCTACTAGGTATCTCCCACCAGTGGGGCACCGCCCTAGCTGAGACAAGATCTAAACTCCCGACTGGTCTCTCGAAGTGTGTAGACGTGGAGTTCGTGTAAGTGTACGTAAGGAATGAAGATGGGTCAAGGGAGAGGAAGAAAAGATCGCGCACGGTCCGTGGCCCGTTTGTTAGCGTACTGCTCCAGCATTCGCCTGGTGTTGATCGGAGAAGCCACGAAAAACTACCGATCAAAGCCGATAAAATTCTTTTGCAGGGAGCGGCTGGGTCCGACCTAGATGCCTTAGCTAGTCGGAACGCTGGAGAACAGGCGAAAGTTTCCACACCATCACCCACCGGTGAAGTTGCTTGCTCTCAACCCCGTCCGATCCTCACTCCTCGGCCATCTCCTCGTCGCCACTCGCGAGGGCGCTCTCCTTCGCCCGCGCGTACGAGTGGCACTCAGGCCGGGCGGCGGCCGGGGCGGCCCCGCGAATCAATTTCGCATCGCGGACAGCGCCGCCGCCGCCGGAGGAGGCAGCGCCGAAGACGAGATGGAAGCGGCTCCACGCGCGGCTGCGACGGGCGCCTCGTGCAGTTCCCGACATCTGCGTGGGCCGACAGCTGCACCGCGCGTCCGGTCGCCCGGCGCGGCGCGGCGTTTAACATCTCGTACAAAAACACCTCGTTCCTCGCAGAAAATTCTCGTGCGAGCGGATGACCTGCCGTAGAGGCGAAGGGGGGGGCGAGGGGCGGGGGCGGGACCCATGGAGATGGATGTTCATGAAACTTTTTATTGAAAATTCGCCATGAATGTATGCGAACGCCGGGCAAGAATTTAATAAATCATACGGAAGCATAAATCCGTTTCTGACAGTATCTAATTTAATACGTATCAGAATGGAAAACTGGTTTGGAGGAGACGAAAGAACGAGGGGGCGTTGGTTCCAGTCTGCTTGGAAATCAAAGCTGCTTTTTTGTGTGTATACTAAACGCTGAAATAATGTTAGTTTAGGAATTCTTTTATATTTGTATTGCATTGGAGGTAAAACTGAGTATTATTTTCCAATTTCAATTCGGAGAAAAAGAGTCCAGTCTTCTTCGAAGCTGATAAACCGTGTTGATACAGCCATGTTTACTTGAAATCTTTGTTTGAATTGCAGTGCTTACCAAAAGTAATAAAAGAACACCTTTAATTTGCTGACTATAGGGCTTTCCTTTTGTAAACCGATTTAAGTCTTTATATTTCATTGAAATGATTCTTTTAACTAGAATAGAAATTCTATTTACCCCTTTAAAAGTTTTGCTTAAGAAAAATTATTACAGATTGTAATATTAACACAGTCGTCAAATGTTACGAATTACGGAGGCAGTGAAGGAGGATGAAGCGAAACCGCCTCAGATGAATTGAACTTCATTTGTAGATAGATAACTCACAGGACTTTGTAGAAGTGAAAGTCTTGAAAAATTTTGCAAAAGTGACTGAAGTTTAAAATGAATTTTACTAGACGTATGAATTAATAGAAAATGGATCACCAAGAAACAAATCTGGCAAATAATTACTCAATCGCAAAACGGGAAAGGCAATGTGAGCCAATATACTATTAAATTGTAATAAATTTAGTATTTCTTTTAAGTGTCGTGGCAGAAATGTAGAAAATTTAAATTTGTAGGATAACGCGATACATTTATTACGTTCTGTACTTCATAGTGCATGATGGGGTGCTAGATGTCCTCGACGTTCATGGGCGCGCCATGTGATTTTTTTGAGCGTCTCATTATGCAAGTAATGTCAAATTGCATCATTCATACAAACTGCGCTAGCACGGCACCGGCAACTGCCTCTGACTTCACTTTCATTTCTCCTCTAAATCTAGTAAAGAGTGTACAAGGTAAGATGAGGTGAAGAATGTAAGCACAGAGCGTGCTCGAATTACAACGAATAATGGTGGCTTCATACGAAAACAATCTATACTTACATATTATTTAATTCCTTCACAACTTATTACTTTAGTTCATGGTTATTTTGTTTTTTATATATTGACTTGCATAAACATGTTTGCTAAGGGGGGACGAATCCTTTTGAATGTACAAATCTTTGCTCGTTTTGGTTTTGCGTTACATTTAATGAAATCAACAATTAATTTCTCGATAAAATATCGAAAATATTTATTATTTCTTACGGGAGGACAACTCTTTTACCAGACAAGGGGAAGTTAGAAAGTTGAACTTATAAGTATCTATCTCTCTTAAAGCTCCTAACAAGACGTTCGAAAGTCTCTGCTCCAACAAGACGTTCGAAATTAATGCAATTATTGCACTCTAAAGTAGCGCGATAACGAAACCGAGTTACATTTCATTGAAAACATTTTATTTTACTCCCAACTGACAATTTCAAATACGACTGATTTATTTCATGTTAATGGATAATTTATTTATTGTAGTAGAGGAAATGGGATTTAATAACGCAGTTTTGGCTGTAAACTGACTTTTGCAAAAGACTGTCACGGGCCAGGAACCCAATTATGCTTGATGCACCGCCACCCCGGAGATTTTGCAAAACAATACTCTTGTCACGCGCCAGTTCGTCGGGACGCAGTGCCTGCGAACTCAACAAAGCTAGTTACTTTGTTCGCGACATCGACATGCCCCCACTACTAACTCATGAGAGACTATGAGATAACAAGTTTCCTCGTCGATGGCTGAACGCATTCTAACTAAATCAGTGTGGAGTTCCTGGGATGTATTTCCAGTTCACGTCGAAACGCCAAGGGCCGTCGGCGCCGCCTGATTCTTGGCTCGTGGATTTTCAAAGCAACTGTTGTGACGGTCGCTCTAAGCAAGGGCTGAGCTTCTGGGAAGTACTCCCAGAGCACGTTGAAGCTTCACGTGTCCTCGACGGCGGCGGCAGATCCTCGTGGCGAGTCAAGTGAGCTCCTTAGCGTTGACTGCCAATTTCTGAGAGTTTGCTAAGTATGTATTGCTGTGTTTGCTAATACGTAAGTGTGCGGTACTCACAGTACTTTCCTGCAAGGGGGAACCGACGGCGGAAGGGTCTGAGGTTCCTTGGTGGAGGCTTCAAAAATGTCCACTAGTTTCTCGGCGGAACTCGTCGTTAGCGCCACGGTGGGTGCAGTTAAATGGCTGCGCTAAGCTGCTGGTTACCGAATTCGCCGGTCTACTCACAGATTTGGCCCCGACCCCCGATTCATTTGTTCAGGATTGGGCGGGAGACTTATTCCCAAACCCATTGATCTCTCATCTCCAGTGGATACGTCGATAGCGCCAAAGTGGATGCAGTGAAGACACGAGCACCCTGTGCTTCGGTCTGGTGGTCCCAAGTTGGGCACTTTGTTTCGTCATGTCAGGCCCGGCGCAGTATGAGTGGCGCTTAAATGGACTACGGTGAAGGCCCGGAAAGCTAGTGGCTGAGTGGCTCTATCCAAGCCTAATTGGGATGCTGCGGTTCCACGTATGAGGAAACCAGCTCAAAGGAGTACTTTCTGCGAAGGATACGGATAAAGGCTAACGGCTGGGAGTAACACACTCCTGTTGAAACAAGATTGAGTGGGGAAGCTGCCCACGCGGACCCGTACTTACAGAAGACGTCGAGGCGCCACGTGTCCTCCTCGACGCCCGCGGGCAGCGCGGGGTTCTCCGCGCGGCAGGTCAGCACCTTTCCGTTGTCGGCGGCCGTCGGCGTCAGGCGGACGGTGGACGTCGTCACGTTGCCTTCGCCCAGGATCTGCACAAGCACATAAGCCAATATCTTTTAAATCATTGCAAGTAAAGTGCAAGCATTAAGTTGCAATTTATACGTCGTCACGTTGCCTTCGCCCAGGATCTGCACAAGCACATAAGCCAATATAAGCGAATTCTTTAAAATCATAGCAAGTAAAGTGCAAGCATTAAGTTGCATTTATACGTCGTCACGTTGCCTTCGCCCAGGATCTGGAACAGCACGTAAGCGAATCTTCTTTTAAATCATTGCAAGTGAAGTGCAAGCATTAAATTGTATTTATACGTCACGTTGCCTCAGGATCTGCAAAAGCACATAAACTAATATTCTTTTAAATCATTGCAAGTAAAGTGCAAGCATTAAGTTGTATTTATTGGTTTATTTGACGCAGAGGAGGATCTAGCTTGACGACGAGACGTCATGGTACTTTTTCTGATATCGTCCCTGATTCAGGTGTAATCTAACATTTGTATACTGTAAAAGGTCGTATAAAGGCATTGTAGTGACAAGTGATTGTAGGGAACTACATTTAGCAGAGAACAAAGTTGATCAAAACTGAAAGGTATGCATTTACACATTACACATATTTTGAGTTTTACACATAGAGCGAATTCTAAATGTTAAGTTCTTACAAAGCATTAGTAAATTGATCACCTTTTTATCAGGTTTCCCAAACGTTGTGTAATGATTGTTCAATCGTTGCGCAAATAGTACAGGTGCCATGAAATCAAGAGACACGAAACAAGCTTTTCTATTGTAGCACACACAATATATTAATAACACAATGAAGACCACGACTGTTCATATCAATTACCGTAGAACACACTTTCATGACATCGTATTTTCTAAAGTCTGAGTAATTCAATTAATACTTCTAGTTTTCATCTAAACCATGATACAACAGAACTTAGCATTACTCAACTGGTATTCCTTAGTTGTTTTCGGTTCCAATAACTCCGTTAAACAGGAATTTCGAGTCTCAAGTGCCTCATTCTCTGAGGGGGGTGTCAGCTGGAAGTTAATTGAAGGAACGTTTTCTAGAGTGTTGTTTCTCCAGACCTAACCCCCATTCACGTCCGGAAAGTATACGAGAGAAGAAGGGTGCAGAAAAATCATTATTTCTTTCCCCTAGCAACCAAACTTCTCAGGGTTAGCACTGTAATTCTGATGAAACACACTCCTTGTTCCTTGGGAGCCAAATATCCGCGAGTATCCTGCCTTTGAGATATCAAGTTTTGACGTTTCTTTCTGGTTTCGTAGTTGCTAATAACACAGACACACAAAACAAAAAAAAACCTTGTCAAACCTGAAGACGTGGCACATGTTTCTCTAAATATTTCGACGTGCTGAATGGGAATCTGAAGTCAGAATTGCGCCACCACTTTCCAGTGCTTTTTTTAAATTGCGAAAACCCGTGGTGATTTTTTTGTTTGTTTTCCAGGATTGTTGCTAAAGCCAAAGACTTGCAACATGTTTGTCTATGTGTGACGACGCGGAGAATCCGAATCCGAAGCAAGAATTGCGACATCACCTTCCAGTTATTTCTAAATCGCGAAAAAAACTGGGTGATGATGATTCGGATTCAGCGCGTCGACACACATAGACAAACATGTTGCAAGTCTTTCGCTTTGACAACTTTTAATTTTGTGTGCCTGTGTGATTTTTGGTTTGTGGTTCTCACTTTCAACTACGGTTCTAGCTTACATTCAGAAAATGAAATGACATCGACGCATATTTTTCAACATTTATTTACTTAAAAGTAGAACACGATTCGGTCAACTAACATGACTCTACCTCATTTAATTGTAAAACAAAATAATTACGTCACAAGCCTTTTTCTAATAAGACATAATAACGGGGTAAATAAAAAACGGATATAAAAAGTTCAAAGAACAAGTACAATGACAAACGACAATAGCCGACGGCCTTCGCAGCCACGACGGTCTCCGCGTAATGGAAAAGTCCCCCCGAAGAGCGCGCAGCCTGTCGCAGGGCGCGCGTTATCGCGTGTCGTGGCCGCGGTCCGCTCCATGGCCGGGGCCACAATTGGCGAGCGCCGCCGGGGCCCGGGCGCGGGGCCGCCTGCGGCTCTATGTTCAAGACAAATGCGCATCGTCGCGCGCGCGTCCCGCGAGAGCGCGCCCCTGAACCTGCGCCTCCACCGGAACAAAGACGAAATTATCACCAGATTAGGCGGCGGATGAAAACGCGTTAGCTCCCCTCGCTTTTGTTGGATCCCTGAATGTGGAGTATTGTTAAGTCCATTAATTTCTTGTTTGCCTGTGTCTGCGTTTAATGAAAAGACGGCTGGCAGGATGGCGGTGGGGAGGGGGAGGGGATGGCGGTGGAGGTGGCGAGAAAATTAATTTAAGCAACCGTGTTTCCACGCTCTGCCGGAGAAAGATGCCAAGATCCGGCATTGCATTCTCTGTGTCGGTGATGGGGAATGAATGACTAACGAAATTACTTCTACGGTAGTAGGAGGAAAATATCGCTTACAGCAAGCCAACGGAAGAAACTATTTGTTTTCATGGAGCAATAACCGGGTGTCCATACAAGAACATCTTGGTTTCATTCAAGAAGAGTTTTAACCTTCGCTTTCGCTTAAAATTACTCTCACTCTCCCTTATATTTCTGAAATTATTTTCTTCAATCATTTTCACAGCATGAATAGATAACACCGACTGAACATTATTTGCAATCGTGTTGTTCATAATTCGCTAAAGCAAGTCACAATGTTGCTTTATTCAATGTAACATTGCGTATTAACTATCACACACATACATCTAAATGAATGACGAGATAACCCGAGTGTCGAAATAGTATACCTGGCGCAAAAAATTTTGTCTACTAGAATGTTTGGTTGAAAGCTTGAATTTCGGATTGACAGTCTGTGGTTTAATCTTATAATTTTTTGTGAATTACATCCAGATGATCAGTTTTGAACACAACACTTTCAGACAATGATGAAGTATTGTTGTGGAAAATACAGTGAATAAGAGGACAAATAAAAATGTTGATGAAACCGATTGTGGAAAATATGTCCAAAACTTCTACAAATTAATAAAGATTTTTTTATTTAAAAGTGTTTGACAATAAATTCCTCTGAAATAAAACGTATTTACAAATTTGATTCTTCGTAATCAGTTTATCACCAACCTTATCTTTTATAAATTTCACTTTCAACGCGTGCATTTCAGAACTTCACAACGTTTTTTCCTTCCAGCACCTCTGGTTTTGTAGCCCTTTTTAAAACCAGCCTCCCGCATTTCGAAGCCGAAATCGACGTGGACAACTTTCAGTTGACACGCTCTCTCAATTAATTCTCCTTTCAAGAACTCTCTCACCTCCCGAACTGGCCGTTGAGTGCTTGGCGATGCTTCTATTCCGTGAATTACAAGTGCTTTTTTTCCCTCGCTCCTTTTAGTCCCAGACGTCCCGTTCTCAATTCCCCCTTCCCGGTCCGGCCGCGCCTCGATCTCGACGAAGCAGAAAAAGATATTTCTTTCGCAATCCCATCGGATGAATTCGCAAAGGCGCCCGGACTCGAGGAGGTATTTACTTTCAATTACGATGTGGGTGTTCGATTCCTGCGCCCCGCGCTGCTAACGGGGAGGGCAGATTCCCTCCCACCCGGACTTGGTCGGGAAGACGGCGGCATAGCGGGCTGGTGGCGGCGGTGGAGAAGGCAGGGAGAGGAGCAGGGACGGGGCGCGGGACCGGGGCCGGAGGTGGTGCTGGTGCAGTGAACGCGAGGGTAGTGATAGTTGACATGGAAATGGCGAAGGCTAAAGAGATGCTACACGTGAAGGCGGCGGTGTCGGGGTCAATGATATGAAGTGATGTAGGATGATCATCGGGAGGGAATGCGATGGCGGCGGCGGGAGTATCTGCAGCTGGTGAGGGCAGTGGATAGATGGTGAGACTCTGGGTCGTAGTATTGTTGGCAGTGGACCTAGTAGTGGTCGTGGAGAAGATGACGGTCTTGGGAATGGCGGTGACCGTGATGGAAGTGTGGTTGTGGTCATGGTATAGGTGACGTTCCTGGGAGCGGTGGTTAACATGATGGCGGTTGTCCGCATGATGTCGAGCGTGGTGCTCGTTGAGGGAAGGGTGTTCGTGGGAATGGTAATTAACATGATGGTGATGATGGTCACGGTGTTAAGTGGTCGTCGTGATGTTGGTGCTCGTGGTTGTGAAAGAGTTGGTAGTCGTGATGGTGGAAAAAGCGATGGTAGTGGTGAGGGTCGTTGTCGGCGGAAGAAGAGACAATAGAAGTCGTAGTTTATTTAGGTGGAGAAGGCGGTGACGCAGCCACAGGCGGCGAGGTGGCGGCGGCAGCGGCAGCAGGGACGGCAGAGGCGGGCGTATGTCCGGAGGCCCCGCTGTATCGGCGCCCGCCCCGCCCCGCCCCGCCCTTCCCGCCCCGCCGCCGAAGAAAGAAATGCGAGGAAGCGGCTCGGCGGATATCGCGCGGTGTCTGCCGAGGGCCTCGCCGGCTGCCCTCGGCCGCACAGTGGACGAGGCGGCGACGGCCGCCCGGCGGAAGAACCGAGCTAGCAGCCTCTGCTGTGTTTCATTCCAATTTAAACTCATTGACACTTCAAAGTCACAAGCTGGAAGGAGAGGGGAAATTGTCGGCCAATAGGAGGCTCGAATACCAACAATTGAAATCGTGACGAAACTTCCGATCGGATGACAGTATCCCCCCACTCCGACAAGCACGTGACATTGAAGTGCCACTGTGTTTAAATCGGAGTATAGTGTAAATAGTTGCCTGCAGCAGCAAACACAGTGCAATACTTATTTACGTACCAAAAATGTAAAAACAAGTCGCAGTTCCATAATACACACGCAAAGAAATATTAAATGACGTGTGGTCTCTTCTCCGGAGCCTTGCCAGCGTATGACATCCATTGTGACGCACAGAGTATGACAATTCAGTCGGTACGCCCATGTGAGAATAGGTTCAATAAGTGAACGAAATACATGCATACTTCAAACAAAATCGAAACTTAAATTTTTCCCAAGTTTCTAAGTATCTAATGCAACCAGGAACCTGTCACATGGCCGTGAGCTGCATTGTTATTTTTCAATTTCTGTGCGCATTGGAAATTAGTAATAAGACTGTAATGAAGTCATAGATACTACATTTGACGCTTTCTCAATAGGGCATTCAGATCTTTGATAGTGAAAAGTGGTAATAAACGGGTATAACAAAGCTAAAATTGCTTATGGAAATAAGTAAAGTTGTTGAGACACTTGCCCAGATTCAAACGCTGCACCAAATCACTGACGACGTTTCGTTTGTCAATTTTCATTTATTACAAACCTAAGTATGCCGATATATGTCAACATTAATCGTATCTACGAAGACTGAATTTTCCCCACAATAAATTTAGATATCTAGTTAATTCAAAAACAGAAATGAGTCAAGTTATTAAAAAACCGTTATCTATGAAGTTACTCGAATTAATTTTGCGAACTTCTTTTTTATATGAAAACAGTATGGGTGTGAGACATTATTTTCTTAGATAAATTTTGGGTCTAAATGCACCCCCACTGGAGTGTAATGGTCAGTCTTGAAAGAAAATACATAGAATTTAACTTTTAAACAGTCATATTAATTTATAATAACACAGAAGATAATCAAAAACTGTAAAATTGTATTTATTTACTTATTCAAAAAAATGCAGAGAGAAGCATTGGAGGGTCTCCTCCCTCAAATACGGTCAGAAATTAAAGTGAAATCATTTACATCATTTGTACTTGGATGGGGAATTTTTCGGTAAAAAGCGAAAATTGAATTAGTTTCATGTAATATTCGTGAACAATATACTTTTCTGTCACAAGTGGAACAAGTTACACATACATTGCTTTTAATGATTTCAAGGCACTTTTGCACAAAATTCAAAGAAAATCCAGAGCTTTTTAATGCGTAACAAACAAATTTGCCCACAAAATTCCGGAAAATCGAATTATAAACAGGTCTTCGCTTCGCTCCGTCAACCAGCTGTGTATTGTGTATATACTACGTTCGCTACGAGGTGAAGCGTGTAGAGATTGAAGGGCTTTCTGAATTGTTCGTTCGGCCCACTGTGGTCTCCAGCAGAGAGCGCCTAGGGGCGAAGCCAAATAATACTGGAAGGCGGACAACTAATGGAGGATTAAATCGGCAGGCGTGCGGAGCATTGAAAGATGAAGCAGATTGATTTCCTCGAGAAAGTTTTCTTTCTGCCTCCAAATGACTGAACGAGAGTGGTTGGCCTTTTACACGGCACTTGATTCAAATGCAATCTATTACTTAAATCAATTTCCATCAACTTATTGCCTAACCGAAATTATGAAAGGAATTTGATTGATGCTTAACAATTAAGAACAAAAGTTCTTCCTCCACTCATTTGAATTAATTCCTGGCTCTAAAAGTTTATATAAAAATTGGTTGCTCATTATAATCGTTACATATTGAACTTTCTAACAATAATATTTCTAACCGACAAATTTTCTCGATGTATTAATGTGAAACAGCATAAAAATAAAAATATTAGAGTAAATTTACTTGTACCCCATTGATAAGATGAAAGGAGAGAAAAATATGGAAATATGATTGGAGTAAATCCGAAAAGTATGATTGGCGGCAAAGACGACAATATTTACTTTATTGCACCATTTTCTTTTGACATTTCTCATTAAGTATATTTAGATTAATGATGCATAACATTAGTATGTCTTTCAACATTTTTAGCGAATATGGTAATATTCATGCTATTTTCACCCTACGTACTCGAAGAATATACTTTAAGAATTGAGGGACTCCAAACCCATAATTGCAAAGGAATTCAAAATATAGTATTGGGATAATAGTTTTTGCAGCCTGAAAATACGTTCATTTTGAAAACAACTAAATGCTGACTGTGTGAGACGGAAATTAGAGGAATGTTCAACCAGTAATTTTACTAAATATTAAATGTCCATCGAATTAACGCACAAAATAATTACAGTTGTGGTGACAATAATTTCAAAGTGCCCTTACGACATAAGCTATTAACTAATTTTCTTAACCAACAGGGTACACAAATTGAATGAATATCAAAACAAATAAGATAGTTCGCCATCGTTCTACAATTCACTCACAATTCTATCCCATTAGCTGAATTACATTTAGAGATGATATACACTAGAAAGGGCTATCAGCTTTTGAAAATACCCTAACAGACGCAGTATTCCGTAGGAATACCGATGACCAACACAGCGCTGACCGACATATCGCTATTCTGAAACACTTTTCCACCTCCACGCGGAGATAACCCGCTCACATACCGGCCGCGTCGCCCTCGCGCTAAGGAGAGGTCCGCCGTCGGGGGCGCGATTTCACTTGGTCTGCGCGGAAGAGCGATCGAGGGCTCGCGGCGGCATCCAAACGACGCGATTACGACACAAATCGGCCCGCGCGCCGCCCGGCCGGGCGCGGCCAACTTGGGCATTAGACGGTCGCGCAGCGCCGCACCGCGTCGGCGGGCGCCGATAAATCCGCGCGCGCAGAATGGGTGCTCTGGCCTGGCTTGAAGCCCGCGCGAAGGACGCTGGACGACTGACTGGCTGACTGACTGACTGACTGACTGACTGACTGACTGACTGACTGACTGACTGACTGACTGACTGACTGATGGACGGACGGACGGACGGACGGACGGACGGACGGACCGACCGATCGACGCGGCGCACGGATGGAGCATGCCAGGAGAATGCTGCTATGTGAGAGCATGGACGGAGAGTTATGTCGAAAGTGTTCTTGAGGTACTATATTTTCCAGAAGTGTGTTTCTTCATGACATGGTAGAAGCAGATCAGATGGGCGAGAAGGCTATTGTAGCGGTCTCGCACAAGAAGTTTGCGGGTTCGTGTCTCGCCTAGGACATGGTTGTGTTGTGTATGTATGTGTCGTCCTTGCACACATCACTATCATCATTTCATACCTCCTGGGCTAACAACCATTCAGAATAAAAATCGGATCTAGAAAAATACTCATCCCATGATAAATTACATGCACCCTGCCACCGAGATAATGTCCCTAATGGCTGGTAAATGCAAGGTGCATGCATGGGTGGTACAAGTCGGTCTATTCGCGAGCAAAAAAATAATAATAATAGCAATGTACGTATGTATGTGTCTGGCATTTTATGGTCTGATTAATCCAACTTTTACCCCCTAGTGTAGTTGCCAGGCCGGCGCCCTGTTTTCATTTATTTTCCGTTTTTGACGGTAAGGGCCTGCCTGCGCTTTCCGTCGTTTCACAGCAACAGAAACTGTGACGAATTGCATTAGAAAACTTCATTTATGTCCTGCCTGGGAATCGACCCCGGGACGATTCACAAAAAGCTAGCACGCTGTCCTCGATTCACTAGAGCAGCAATTTTTATAATTCCTTATATGATATATTTTTGAAACTTACTATAGATACATTAAACTGCAATGCATTATAAGGAGTGATTGAGAATATATGTTACAAGTGCTAAGGCATTTAGGGTGGCCGCTTTTGTCAATGAATACATGACTTCATATAAGGAAAATAAAAACAGAGAGAGGTGACTTAGGGTAGCAAATGATGTCAATGCAGTGCCTCTAAACGGGAGGTCTGAGAGTTCCAAGTCCCGACGCGGATAGGATTTTCCCCACTAGCTACATAGTTGGAATTCAGTCGTAGTCTGGAGGAAAATTTTACAGACCAGCTGCTCTGATCGGTAGTTTTCCATTATTTCTCCGATAAATACCAGGCAAATGCCGGAATAGTACAAGGGACTGAGCGCAATCTTCCCTCCCCATTCGCTGTCGTATCGTCACCCCTTCTTACACACACTACACAACCGCATATGGTGGGAGGCCAGTCGTGGGCGTGGGCACAGCTCGTCTGGGGCAGTGCCCGATGGTGAGAGACAGGTGGCTGTGGAACCCCCGCAAGCTGTCGTATGTCTGCGCTGGATCTCGCCATCCACCATGTTATCCATGTTATTCAAACAGACAAGCCATACCTTCTGGACGAGTGCCCGGTGATCGAGACACCAGGAAAGCTTAAAACTACATTCTAAATTGGAGTTTATTTCGAAAAAGCAGGACGTGGTACCTTGTCGACGCTGCCGACGAGCGCCTGGTTGTCGAGCCACCAGGAGAGCTTAAAACTACAATATGAATTGGAGGTTATTCCTAAAAAGCAGGACGTAGTACCTTGTCGACGCTGCCGACGAGCGCCTGGTTGTCGAGCCACCAGGAGAGCTTGGCCGCAGGTCGCGACCCCGAAGCCATGCAGTCCACCTCGATGCGGCGGCCCGCGGACAGGGCCTGTCTCTCAGTGAGGATGGAAGCGCTCAGAGGGCGCACTGGAACACAAAAGAACACCACGCGCTCAAATCAGGTTGATATTATTTCTGCAGGTAGGTTTTTTGCAACCTTGTGGCAGAACACTACAATTTACATAGTACAACTAGGAATATTAATACAATGTAACAAAATTATTTTTTGACAACAACAATACTAATAAAAACAATAAAGACATAAATAGAATTAACTTCATGTTTTATGTCGTGCTTGCACAGATATTTTCAACTAATAATTACAAGACATGTTAATCTCACTGCCCTCCACTTCACTTAACATAACTTCTCTTTCTACTTCTATATTGCACTACTTAGATCTCTATTACTGAGGATCTGCTCAATACTCGCGAGAAAGATTGCGCTAGAGGAGCCTAAAAATCGTTTTTAGACACGACCTTCTATGACATTTATGACCCGCCATGACACACAAGGTAAAATTGATTTTCTTTTGCTCGTAAGATTGCCTACTCGGCCGATCGGCTTCCAGTCGTAACATTTCTTACTTTCGAAACAAAACGTCGCTTTTATAACTCAATAGCTTTTTATCATAACGTTACGACAATGCGGAAATGATTTCTGCTTTATTTGTAAAAGTTGTGTAAAATTAAAGTACTAGTGGAAACAGTGCAAAAAATGAACACATTACTTCTGGAAACGGATTACTTTACTTTGAGAATGCTTTACCGTCTCAACATGTTTCTAAAATGGTTTTAATCTCCTTAAATAGTTGTCCGGAATGGTATTTATAATTGAGCCAGCAGACTTCCGTGTTCAACGTTCTACTGATGGTGGGATATTTCATCGATGACCACGAATTAAAAACATTATTTTTGCTACAACGAACACCTTTCCAAATCGTGCGTTTGGGAAAATTTTGAAATCGATTTTTAGTCGCATTACCTAACCTTGTGTATAGATCGTATACACTAGTACAAAAATACAATATTTTCTGACATTTCTTTAATTATTGTTTTGAGTCAATGTAGATCGTTCCTTTTCCTATCTGCGTAAATTTTCGTAAAAGAGGTAATAAACCATGAAAAAAGATGTGTGTTCATTCAACAAGTGAAAATGAAACTATTAGGGGGTTGTTTATTTGAGTTTTATCTCAAACTTTCAATTTTCTATTCTATTACATGTCTTTAATCCTTAACAGGTACAATGATTGTTTATCTGGCGTATCTGGAACAATGAGGTCCGCGAAACCCTGCGATATTTTTGACAAAATGTGCTTCATTTTCGTACTAAAAAAGGAAACTTTTCGCATTCTTTACCTTCGAAGATAATAGGGAAAGATTGATGCAATAAAATATTGCAACAAATGTATATGCTTGGGAATTTTAATCAACTATAATGCTATTTGCTGTGTGTGCGTAGCACATCTGAACTACACGCGCCTGCATTTACGGCAGCCTCCACAAAGGCACAGCAAGAACGCGGCGCCTGGCTGCTCCTTGACGAACATCGCCCTCATTTGTCAGCCGTGCATTTATAACTCTGGCAATGCGGAGCGAAGGGCGAGTAGTGAGTAGCATATGAAGTATACAGTGTCAGCGTTCTAGAATGCACTGAATGCATTCGGACACTTGACTGTGTTTTGGAACATTCACTGCGCAAGTGACCCTGACAACGACTCTGCTTCTTCTCACGGCTTCTCTCGTGGGCTACGGACTTTCTTCGGAACGTTGACTGGCGCCAACCACTTCTTCGAACTTGGGCCCTGTCCTCCACGCCCTGGCCTCACAGCCGCGTTTGTGCGCCCCACTACGGTTTCACCACTGGCGGGAATACTGTCATTTATTGCTGTGTGATTAATAAATATTTGTGTGCCGTCTACTTAGACTATCTATCCTAATACACCAAACTATTCCAAATTCGATGTAGTTACTAATTTTTTCAGTTAGAAATAAATACTATTTCTTTTTAGGGCCAGTACTCCTCACGTGACGTTTCAATACCAAACTATTACAAGAAATTGTCTTTTGTCTCTCAAACTATTTCTTTGCACTAGCACAGAAATATACAAACGTTTGGTGATGTATTATTTGTTTATTATCTGGATAAGTATCACCATTATTAGGTTACCAACTAGAATTGTTCACAAGCTCGACAGGAGCAGCGAGTGCGGGGAAGCAGGATGCGACAAATTTAGAGGAGTTTTATGTAGCTTTTACAGTTGTTTTCACCTGGAATAAAATTCCTAACACTAGAATAATATGGACTGACTCGACGCATGCAAACATTTTGCACTCGTTTGTAAAACAAGCTACACGTTGTATAAAGAGTAATAGTTTACATTAACCACGTCCGTCCGTTTGAATTTAAGAACAGAAGAAATAAAATCTCAACTCTTGCCGCTTGAATTACAAAGGTCAGGCTACAAACCGTGCGCCACATCATACGAACGGAAGTGGGCGTGTGAAAATATCTGATATTTCCAAGCGTTTATTATCTGAGGGAATGAAAATGAGGCAATGATGTATTTTGCTATCAAATAGTCAATGTAATTCGACATTGTATTTTAATTTCAGCGTGTCTCGAATCATCTAGAATGTCTAGGAGTATCAAGAAGGACTACATCCTAAAAATGTAATAGGTTTAAAAAATGACTCCCTTTTGATGGTAAATGCCTAAGGGACAAGTTCTTGGGTTTCATTTACGTTTGTTTGATATTTCCGGGCATGCCAATTGTTATGGATATTTGTCCCGTTAGTGTAGACAGTGATTTATCCTGAGGGATGGTGGTGGTTCCTTCCCCGTTGGATGGTGAGATTCGGCAGCGACCTACACGACGGCTTCAGGGATTTTCCCTAGCCAAGAATCTCCGACCGGGGGGTTCCGCTTCAGCTGAACAAGCTCTATGTTCCCGACGTATGTAGTAGTGGATTGCCTGTAAGGGGAGAGGGTAAGGCAAGGAAAAGGAAGGAAAGACCGCGTGTGGTCTGTGGCACGTTTGTTATGGTGCTACTCCGGTATTTGTATACTATTGATAGCAGAAACCAAGGAAAACTATGGACCTGAGCAGCCCGTTATATGAATTCTCCTCCTTAATTAGGTTGAACTGTTGAACTACTCACTGTTACAAGGTTATTCAGAGTCAGTCGAAATCTAAAATGCAAGATTGAGACACGCGGGTGGATACTCAAAATCATTTCATAAAAATCAAAAGCTTTTTTTAAAGTAAAATGTACCAGAGTATCGGGAAAAGGTCAAAACCTTTTAAGACATATAGAAGAGAGATTAAAGTAATCACATTTGACAATGGATATTTAATGGGAAATTTTATATAACGAAGTTACGTGTATGATATTTTTCGCCGATTGATGAGTAATTTGTCACGAACTAGTTTTTGCCAAGTACTCGAAAACTCTTTGCATCAGAACGTGACCTGTCACGACTAATACATGACAAGTTGCCAACCAAAGATACAAATAACATGTGTGATTTTGTAATATGAAATTTGCTGTAAGTTTATTGCTAAAAATAATCATCTTCTGCCCTCTACACGTCCTAAAGGTTAGTGACTTTATATTCGCTAAAATTTTCAGGAATTTTCTCTGGATTGTCACCTAGTTGACAAGATTCATTGACAAAATGGAAAATATATCTTCATATTAATTTATGCAATTGCAAGGTAAATTTCATTCTTACTTCTCTAGGTCGGTAGTATCTTAAAGAGAAATCCTACAGTTTCCATGTATTTTAAAAAACATCAGGTGTTAATAAAAAAAATCATTTATAGTACATGAATAAAATATTCCCTTTAAGATATGCAAAAGATGGTGTTCGACTTTTCGATCATCGGAGTCGGGAACTAGCATCTGTTCTCAAAGGACTGGTTTAGTTCTCAGCCATGTGCAAAAAGCTCCGTCTTTACTAGGGGCTATACAAACATGATATGTGAGGACTTCCTCCGCCTCCAGCCACGGCGACCGACGGATCCCGGCTCCTACTCGCTCACTTGCCGCAGCGCGACGTGGTCTTGCCAGGACAGCGGACGGAGAGGGGCAGGGCGGGGCGACGCAGAGCGAGGCGCTCGCGGCCAGTGCAAGACGTGACGGAGTGGGGCCGAGAACGAGATGGGAGAGGCTGTGAGAAGGCGTAGTGAAGCTAGTCGGGCCCCGGTGAACCGAGGCAAGGCGGTGGGTCAGGGAAGGTAAGTGTGTAGTGGAAGGGGACGAGACGTATGGGGGAGGGGGGGCAAGACGAGGAGTACGGGTTGATGCAGAATGGTGGTGCGAGCAGAGTGGGGGGTGCTGAATGGATGGAAGTGGAGCGGGTGAAGACCGGGCAGAAGGGGGGAGGAGATGCGGAGGCGGGTGGGTCGGCGGGGTGGTGTGATTGGCGGGACGGGTGAGCGAGCGGGGCAGTGGGGTGGGCAGGTCATAACGGGTGCGTACGGGCGGACAGGAGAAGAGAGAGAGCAAAAGGTTGGGGAATCGGGAGAGAGGGACGGTGAGTTCGGGTGGGGCATGGCGCGGCGGGGAACAGAGATGTGGGGTCGGGCAGGGAGGGTGAGGTGGGCGAGGAGACGCGGACGGGGAACAAGAGGGGGTGCGGTCGGGCAGGGAGGGTGAGGTGGGCGAGGAGGACGCGGGCCGGGGACAGAGCGGGTGGGGTCGGGCAGGGAGGGTGAGTGGGCGGGGAGGACGCGGGCGGGGGACAGAGAGGGTGGGGTCGGGCAGGGAGGGTGAGGTGGGGGGGAGGACGCGGGCGGGACAGAGAGGGTGGGGTCGGGCAGGGAGGGTGAGGTGGGCGGGGAGGACGCGGGGCGGGAGGGTGGGAGGGCGGGAGGGGTGGCGGGGGGGGACAGAGAGGGTGGGGTCGGGCAGGGAGGGTGAGGTGGCGAGGAGGACGCGGGGCGGGGACAGAGAGGGTGGGTCGGGCAGGGAGGGTGAGGTGGGCCGGGAGGACGGCGGGGCGGGGGACAGAGAGGGTGGGGTCGGGCAGGGAGGGTGAGTGGGCGGGGAGGACGCGGGGCGGGGACAGAGAGGGTGGGGTCGGGCAGGGAGGTGAGGTGGGCGGGGAGGACGCGGGGCGGGGGACAGAGAGGGTGGGTCGGGCAGGAGGGTGAAGTGGGGGGAGGACGCGGGGGAAATGGGGAGGAGGTGAGTGCGGGGACGCGGGCGGCGTGTATGATGTGCAGGGCGAGCGCGCTGTGTGCAGCAGAACGGGGCGTGGCGTGGCGGGCGTGGCGTGGCGAGTGTGGTGCGAGGCGAAGGAACGATGACGTGTGAAGGCGGGCGGGCGCGCGCTACCAGCTCACTGCTCGTGCGCGCGCGCGTTCACGTGAATAATTCATTTCATTACGCGCACTCGCCCCGCCGCTTGATTAGCGCGCGCAGGCAGAGCGCCGGGCGGCGCGGCGGCGGCGGCGGGGGGGAGGTGACGGTGATGGTGTCAGCGCGGAGAGAGTGATGCTGTTTGCGATGGCGGTGATTCTGTCACGAGAGGGCGGGAGCAACGGAAAAGTAGGAGATGAAGATTTTGGAGTGGGTGAGGCAGATGCAAAGACAAAGCAATTAAGGGAGTGAGCAACAACGTTAGCGATGGCGAAGGAAGTGGAGCCGGTGGCTGAAGTGCAGGTGATGGAAACAGAGATGGCGGCAGCGGAGCGAGAGGAGACGGAGGCAGTGGCGGTAGCAATGGTGATAACAACGGCGGTGGCGAGGGAAGCAGGGCGGAGATGATGATGGCGGGAGTATAGACGGTGGCCGAGGTGCAGGCGGTGGCGGTAGTGACGAAAGCAGAAGCAAAGGAGAGGTTGGAGAGTTTGATGGAGGGGGCGGTGTGGGCGGGGGCTGTGTTAGGAGGGGGCGATGGAGGTATATGCTGGAAGTGGCAGCGGTGGTGAAGGATATAGGGGGCGGTGGCGAGGTTGGAGGCAGAGGCGGTAGTGAGGGCGATGACGGTGGTTGTGGGTGGGAGGGGTGGTGTGATAATGACGGAGGCTGATCGTAGCTTCAGTACTGCCCGGAGACGTTCGTAAGGTCAGAGAGGCCGCCGTTGGAAGCAGAATAAAAGTTCAGGGGAGCACGCGGGGTGGCGTGGGTGGGCTGCGTTTGAGTTGCACGGACATGCCGCGGGGTTTGCGAGCTAGAGAATAAACAGGAATGGAGGGGGAGGCGGTGCAAGCACCACAAGCAAATATTACAAAAAGGGGAAACTGTTATAAATTTGATAGAAATTCCGAGTTAAATATTCTGATGTATGCAAGAAACAATTCGTGAATGATATGGTGAATAATGGTTGTCAATACAAATTAAACGTCTAACAAGAAGCACGAAAGAATAATTTCTCAATGGCCATGAGTTAATTAACTTTGTTAATTATCGCTTTTAACTAATGAAAATGATTTTGTTTGAAGTTAAATGGATGCAGCGTCGTATTGATGAACTCTACTTATATGAAACGAAACTAAAACAAAAAGTACCCTCCCGGGAGTTATCGGTTGAAAACGGGTTTCTACAAAACTACGGGAATTGGAAATTTCCCTATTCATTAATAGGCTACCTATGGTCATAGCAATGACTAAAATAAAAACTTAGAGTGACAAAATGGAGACTAAAACAATCCATTGAATGAATGAATGAATGAATGAATTTTGATAATTTCGATTGTACAATTTCAAAGATGCACTTGATTGTGGAGAGTTTGCTTTTGTTCTTGAGATTAGAGCCTCGCCAATAAAGTATTTCGAGTATTTGCTTATCTGGAAAATCCTCCCAGAGAGTATATGTATAAAGCTAAGTTTGAACTCTAGAATTGTATTGCAACGTTCTATGATGTAGAGCAATCGACCGTTATATCCAAGTGCGAATCTAAACCTGATTGGAAGCCTTGAATGTTTGAGGGCAAAAATAATCCTTCTTGCGCAGAGGGGGAAGTAAAAGCGGTTATCCCATGTTAAAGATTTTCCGCATATGATATATCAAGCCCAAGAGCAACTAAGTCAAAATCAAATTGCCTGTTTCGTCACTCAACTAATACTCTAAACCTTCTTTCTCTGTTCTCTGTAGCACCTTCACGGGAGAAAGTGGAAAAGCAGGTCTGAAAGCCTGAGCTTCGCCATGTAAAATAAGGCATTAATGATTAATTGAATGTGGCAGGGCACCCAGGATCAGGATAAGACCGGCGATGAAGAGAGCACTGGGTACAGCGTACGAATGAACACACCTGTAAGGCTGACAGTCGCTGCAGGAAGAACGATGGTGAACAAAAAAAAGGGAAGAGACGGAACTAAGACGGTCAGAACAATAAAGCCAAATCTGAATATCATAATGAGGGGTTGCCAGCAACGAGAGGACGCTGTTGGTGGGTCGCTGGCCAGCAAAGGATTGAGAAGAACGAAAGGAAAGCAAAGTGTCCTCGATGGGGGTAGTGTTGGAGAAATAGGCGAA